TGTTGGACGTTGTTATCAATACGGAATAGGAGTTGAGAAAGATATAAAAGAGGCGCTTGAATATTATCAAAAATCTGCATATATGGGACATGTAGATGGAACATATAATGTTGGACATTGCTATGAAAATGGAATAGGAGTTAAAAAAGATTTAAGGAAGTCATTCAAATTTTATCAAAAATCAGCAGATATGGGACATGTAGATGGAATATACAATCTTGGGCGTTGTTATGAAAATGAAATAGGTGTTGAGAAAGATATAAGAAAGGCATTTGTATATTATCAAAAATCCGCAGATATGGGATTTGCTGATGGAATATCTAATCTTGGACGTTGTTATGAAAATGGAATAGGAGTTAAAAAAGTTATAAATGAGGCAATGATCGGTGTATATTTTTACATGTAAGAGAATTTTATCATTATAAGGTAGATGTGCGATGCTGTCGCACTAAAATCACGACGATATTTATAAATTATATATGCCAATTCTTACATTATATCATAAAGATTTTGTTTAGATTTAGCATTACGACCTAATCTTGAAATTTTCTTAATTTATTTTGTTATAATATAGAGTTTCGTATTATGATTTCATCAATTGGCTTAGTTTGTAAATTGAGTAGAACAATTTTAGAAATTCTAAATCGATATGAATAAATTGAACCTAAATGAAAGGCTTAACAGTATTGTAACTGAAAATTGCATATATAGGTGGTCTGCAAACCCATTCCAACTTATAATTAAATATGATTAGTGTAATACCAATTATTGATAATAAAATATCCTGATTAAATATAAAATGGAAACTTTATACTTTTTTAATAAAGTAAACTCAACACATTAAAAATTAATCACCAAATTCAGAAGTTGTTAACACAGGCATCGGGTGTATTATACAGTAGCTCGCCTTCGGACAACCCTATAAAAAGGATAGTGTAAAATTTGCACGTATTATATTCGTGTTAAATAGACAGGATGGCATTTTTTTAACCATTTTTCACACATTTAAATCAGATCACCCTCCGACATTTCCGATCTGGCTAATTCGGAATATTTTAAACCAAATATACCGTTTCTTTTTTACATATAAATCATTTTTTGCCAGTATTAATTCAATAGCTTATCGAATAACGTTTGAATCAATAAATGCAAAAATGATTTACAGTATCGGTATATTTGTTTGAATTTATTCAAATTAGCCGATCGGACAATGTTGAAGGGTGATTTTCCTAGCAAAGATCCCATATATTATACAATCCTTTTAATAGGGTATGTCATGAGAACCAATAATTGTAGATCATTATGTCATCAGGTTACTATACTCAATCAAAACCAAAATTTGTGTACAAACGCAAAACTCAATACAGTACACTCGTTTCACTATGTTCCTGTATAATATCAATATTAAATTTTTGTTTGAATACTTACCCAGCATGTTGGTGTGATTAGTTTGTACGAAATTTATGAAAAAGACTATCAAGAAATACAAAAAGGCTCCGAATATAAATTCGATTTTATAATAAATATATTACATGAATAAATGCTAATATTAAAAAGTTTGATATTAAAATATCAAGATTTTCACATTTGGAGGGGAGTTAATAGAAAAGGTCAAATTTGCTCTAAGTAAAAATTTTAACTTTAAACTTAAGTATTTCAACAACTATCTAATCAAATTTGATTAGATATGTTGAGATATTTTAATTTAAAAATTAAAAAAAATTTATTAAAACTGATTTGTCCTTTTTCTATTGACCCCATTTTTTTTAATGCGTACATTCATTTTAAGTTCTTGAGAACTCAATTTGTAAAAGAACTGCTAACACCTAAGTCTTAACAATTTTTTGAATTAATAAGTAATGCCTTTGACACAATTTGACAGACAGTTTCAGATCATCACTAATCTACAACCAAAACACAATAAAAACATAAGATACAGTGAAGCCTACTCGAAAAAAGTAAAAAAGATTTGGTTCGATAACCAGAATCCTACTGCCTGAATCTATAACTAACGATACTTATTTACATGACTATGAGCTTCATTTAGATTATTCAATATCTATGTTTCACCTCGAGTCAAACCCAAAATAGCATTTGTTAATGCTATCTCACATGCCAACTATTAAATATTTAAAGTTCTAGATTTGTGGCTCAGGTCACATGTTCTTAGTTACGATCTTGTCCATATGCTTGAGGCCATATCATATTTTCCATTACAACGGGTTACAATGAGTTGTTCGCTAGTATACTTTAAATTATATGGGGCGCATAAAACCAAAACACGGCTTATGGCTTTTTTTAAATTTTGAGATTTAAAATATCGTGTAAAAATAACAATGACGATCTATTATTAGTATAACCTGTTGGATCGAAATAAATTAGCCAATCATACTGATGCATTTCTTTGACTCTGCAGCAAGGATCGACAATCGGATTTCTAATTTTAGATCCGGCTAACCATATACGAGATTTAAAAAAGAAGAGCATCGACAAAAATTTTATTATGTAAAGCAATATTTTAAATATTAAATTATCTAAAAGAGTACCTACTTTATACGACCATATGGTTAACTCATTTTCGCAAAAAATGCCATAAGCCGTGTTTTGGTTTTATGCACCCCATATAACAAAATCTTCTATAACGTGTCAATTATATCTTGCTAAACTATGATATGTAATATCCATCCGCATACATATATAAAATGATAAATAAAAAATGATTAAGAATTTTGAATATTACGATTTTAAATGAAACATAAGCTAACTTTTCAGTAGAACAATTTGAGTTTCTAAAAAAAAAACAAACGTTGCAGTTAAAAAATGATTATTATTCATTACAAGATGTTATGTTTGAAGGAATTTCTCCACAATCAATTTGGCTTAATTGCCAGCCAGCTTCATAGCCTTCAACTTTGTAACATGTGTCTTGACTATTGTCAATATCATCTTCCCAACGAGTAGTTTTATAAATATGGAGTTGAAAACAATATTTGGAAAGTGATACTGAAGTGCTAAACACTAAACATTCAGATTGATCGCTTGTAAAATCTAGATTGGCTTGATTCCATACAACATTATGAGAATCACAATCACTTATCCATGCTTCTCCATCCCCCGCATGCGACCAGAAAGTAGATTTGAGTTTAATCGTTGATGCATTTACTGTAAATAATGCGAATTAAGCAAAATAGAAATAGTAGATATTGGTAGCGTGAATTATAAATGTCAATTTTTTTTGAAAGAGATCTAATTACCTTCATATACATTAGCAACTAGGCATAAAAATGCGAAAATGGTGAGAGTTAGGAAGATATTGTATGTCATTGTTAAAAATACAAGACTGTGTGGTTTGATATTATTTTTTAAAAATAATGAATATTATTCACTTTTGTAATTCTTTATTTCATTGTACACTCACGACACATTTATAGAAGAAATTGATTTCGATAGAATATGTCCAATTTTGGAATAATCTTTCATTGTTAAATTTATTTCATATGATTTGAATATTGTGATCACCCAGAAGCTGAATGACATCATTTTCTTAAAATTAACCTTCGTCATCTAAAATTTTTTTGTATAACATTTTTAAAAATTTTAATTCATACAAGGCTATCACAAGCGATAGTTTTTGCCTTAACCTATTTTAATTTATTAAATTATTTTATCAAAATAAATTATGTATTTATTAATATTTTAATTGCTGATCCAGATAAGATCAGCGTGATTGCTATATTAGAATTTGGGCAAAATTACTATAATATTAATTATATGCTTGATCTGGGATTAGTCATTATAATAAGTAATTTCACATTACTTTGACTTCTAAAACAAGTTATAGAGCATGTTCTTACAGTTCTAATGATGTATGATCATTAAAATTGGTCCAGTAGATCATGAGATATCATTAAAAAACACTTCCCGTTCATATAAAGTTTCTATATAAACAAAGAAATTTACATATGATCAGAAAAAGTTTTTAATTATTCTCACGAGTTACTGGGCAGATTTTAATGATCATACCATCATTAGAAGCGCAAGGACATGCTTTACAACTTTAATTAGAAATCAAAGTAATGTTAATAAAAATTTTCCTTATCATAATCCCAAATTCCAGCACATAATAATCTATTGTAATTTACTATCATCTTAATATAGAATTTCTGCAGATCACATTCCATAATTATTTGATACTTGGTATCTTTTACTGAATGCAATGATGATCATGCTTATTACACGAAACTAGTGATAAATAGTAAGATCTAAGGATGGGAACGGCTACAGCTATAGCCGGTTTAGCCGACCGACTAAAGGTATAACCGATGCCAGATTTTTAATTTTCAGTTGTTAAAATAATAATCGTTGCATAATTAAGTATGAAACTAGATAGGTCTACATGTCTTTTATTGACTTGGATAATTTTTTATTTAACTACATTCTTTACAATTCTTTACTGAAAAATAAAATTATTCGCATTAATTTTGTCGGGTATAAAAAGCATTTGAAATAAGCTATTTATGTACATTAATGTTTACTATCTGATTCCATTTTATTCACATTAATTAGGATGTGGTATGTAATTCAATCATAAATCTATATCCAAGCATTTAATATCCTTTAATATTGTTACTTA